GTCGGCTCTGGTACATTCACTGACAAACAACGAACGCTGCTAGTGGCGGTCAAGTGGCACAGCAAGTCATTTACCTCAGATCGACGACTGACGATGAATCAACGGATTTTACTACGTTCGGTGATCATACAGGTAAGAAACCAACAGGCGTTTCACCAGGTCCAGTCGGCCGGTCAAACCGGTCGATTGGTTGGTAGAGGAGGGCAACAACGTTTGACTGGCACCCGTCATCATATGCTTGACGGGCAAACCGGACACAAAGCAGTCAGCCAAACATGTACTGTCCCTAAGCTACAGGTATTCACAGACGAGACGGTGGTTACTCGAAGAAGCGACAGGACGGTTTCCTGCCATATGAAATTTTGCATGCAGAACTGTCTCGACAGGATTAGGTCAGTTCGTTCGAACCACCATAATGAAGCCTCAGAAGCCGAGTGCACAAGTCGCCGCGGCCGCCTCCGACTTCCCTGGTGACGAACAAGTGCTACCAGCAAACGAAAAACAAGACCTGCAAGAAGCGGAGGGTGCGCCGATGCTCACGGCGAGAGAAAAGTTAAAACCTGAAAATGGCTTCCTCAAAGATACTTCGCCAGTGACCGACTCGGCTGGAGCGGAAATGCCTGGCCTGACGAGGCGGTCAAGCTCACCAACGCTGCATCGCACAGACACTCAGTGCAAAAGGTGTAGACACATTACACCTGGTAGGGTGAAATATGCACAGGACGCACCAGTGCCTGCGTTGCACTCAGCTTTGGAGGGTGGTTGTTGCCTATAGGTTTCTCATGATCAAAGGAGAACAGGTTCTGGACGAGGACAAAGAGGTCCGTGGTCCGTTAGTGACAGAGTGCAGCTGGCGACAATACGGCAGTTAATTAGTCTGTTCGATCACTGACTGTCCTTCGTTGGTCGCCCACGCCCGCATCCACAGAAACAAGTACGGCTGACCAGCGCAAAACGGCTTTCGGGAACCACCGCAACCCATCGCTTACTTTTCGAAAAATACACATGGAGGAAGGAGCAGAAAATTTGACCGCTGTCGTTGCATGTACTGCGGCTAACGACTGGCGCACACACGCGAATCCGGTTTTCCTGCTGTCACCAACTCGCCGCGACACATACTCGCGCAGTGACCGCCCCGAACGCATAACTACTGGGTGACACACGCTACTGACTGCCATCCTGCCCTGGTCCTGTGGTGGTTGGTTACCAGCCATGACAAATTCCTCTAGAACATGCCAATCGCGCGTGGTGGGG